CTGCGTTCAAAATTCTCTGGTGCCCCCCCGGTACATCAATGTATTTTTGAAAAGCAAAAATTAAGTTTGTCCAACTCTAAACCCAGTCCCCAGGTAAATTAGGATATTCAAGTTAAATAAAAAACTAGCAAAAACGAGTTGCGTGGTGTCCCCACCACTTTTCAAAGCAAAGTTACGCCACTGTATAGAACCACACACATTTCACAAATCTCACGAAGTATACAAGTATTGTCAGCACATCACACATCCAGTGCATCACTACACAGACAAGGATGTATATCTACGGACACCTGCATCTAAGTCCGTGTGAAGATTACAACAAGTCCAATCATCTGTCTGCACCTTTCCCTTCTTTCAATTAAATGTTTCCCTGAAACTTAAAATAACTGAGAATTACCTCACTACAAAATCTCTGTATCTTTGAATCCTGTTTCTTTATATTGATTGTTTATTGTTTGCGCAGGCCTACACAGTTTGTGTTTTATTTAATATGAATGTGTATTTCTATACTGGCTCTCCAAGTGTGAGTAATAAGTTCATTTCTGTTTGCTTAAGCAATACATTGAGTAAATCCTAATTCATGACTCTGGCTCTTTACTCCTCTCCTGGTCACTGGACATTAATTAGGTATTCAACCTTCTAAAGTGATTGGTACCGTAACAGTAATCAGTGCATTGTACAATCTCTAATACAATCCATAAGGCAGTAATGCAATATTTAGTAACGCGTTACTGTAATTTGATTAATTTTTGTAGTAATTGAGTCATTTAATGTATTATAATTTCCAAAATAGTAATTAGCCTAGAGCAGTGGTTCCCAATCCTTGTCCTGGAGAACCCCCAAAATTGCACGGTTTTGGTGTCTCTCTTATCTGACACACACATTTGTACTAGTTGCGACGGTAGTGACGTCATGGCTGTCGCCGGCCAAACAAGTTGGTGTTTTTTCAATGTAGGCTTCAGACACGGGTCACGACGAGGCGTTCCCCCCATAGCGACCCCTAGAGGACGCAGTGTCTCGTTCCCCTCAGGGAACCATGGTTACATAAGTAACCCGAGACGTTCTTGGAGTCTTCACTAATGAGCTGATTAGTTGAATCAGGTGTGTTTGAATAGGGAGACATCTAAAATGTGCAGTGTTGGGGGTTCTCCAGGACCAGGATTGGGAACCAGTGGCCTAGAGTATAGTTCCAGTTAATTTGGGTCCATCTTATAATCAGGGTCGTCTTATATTCGGGTCAATACGGTAATCAGAACAGTAACATGGTTACTTTTAAAAGGAATAATCGGTAATCAATAATTTAATTACATTTCCAGAGTAGCTTGCACAACACTGTTCATAAATGATTTGACTCATGGTTACACTATTTTTTATTTTTTTATATCAAATCAGGTCTACCTTGTGCTTCTTTGGGGTGTAGTTGTGAATAATGGCCTTGATTTCCAGTTGTTCGCCGCGCACAGCTGAGTAAGGCATCTTTAGGTCAATGAAAAAGCTCTTAAAAACGACCATCTCCTCAGGTTCTGCCACACAGATGCCTTTGAGGAGGAACACAGACACACAGAAGGATTTAAAGCAGCAGCTCCTGGATGATGATGATGATGATGATGATGATGAGGTTTTTCAGAGCACGTGTTCTGGGTTTGCAGCTTCTCCTTACCAAGTGTTGGTGACAGACTGACAGCCAAGATCTGCCAGGTAGTGATAGAGTCTTTCAGGACGATCGGTTTTGTGATTGATGTTGTTCCACTGGAATATGAGGAAGAGACAAGTAAAGATGATAACTTCTAAGTAGGTTAGTAATCTTCTAATGAATAATTACTATTCGAATTAATGTTTACTATCAGAAGGAGTTAAGTCAAGTTTTATAATGTCAAAGAAGCTTTACAGTATAAAACAACAACAACAAACAGAAGAATCTGTCACTGTCATACATTTCTTCACCCAGGAATCATTAATTCAGTTACAATAATAAAGCACATCTACAGCAAATAATGCAGTGGCTTCATTCAGTGAAATAATTCAGTGTCGGCATCTGATAGTATCAAATAGAACTAAATCAAAGATGTTTCGAAGATGAATTAAAGGGGAGAGAACATGAGGGAGAGTAAATTAAATTAGATTTTTGGGTGAGCTATCCCTTTAACTCACAGCTTGTGTCTAAAAGTCTCATACTTGCCCTTTATTGGAAGTGGGTAGATCAACCACCTCCCAAAGCCAACTCTCAGGGAACTGCGTACGGGACACAATATCTTCAGAGTCTGTATAATAGTCGTCATCATCATCATCATCATCACCTGTTTTTAACAGATAAAATAATTAATTAATGAGGAAATAGACCCTTTAGAGCAAATGAACATGTCAGATAATGAAGTCAAAACAAATACAAAAACAGTACAAATCGCTTCAATCAAGAATGAGTTAATATAGAGATAATGAATTTTGTCATTCTTTCCAAAAACTATCCACTTGTACTATTACAGAATTAAGTCGTGTTGACACCAATATGACTGTTCGGTGAAACAATTAGTAAAAAATGTATCTGCTTAGACCAATGCCAAAAAAATAAAAAAAAGGCAGATGGGCTGAATAAAAATGTAAATTAACTCTTTGACAGCTGGTGATGCTGGGGGGCGGCATCCGTGGCTGTTTAAGCAGGATTTGAGACAATTATTTTAATACTGAAACCTCAAGATACGATTTATAAGAAAAAAAATCTCTAGTAAATATAAGAATGCCAACAGTCTAATAATGCACATAATAAACAAACTGCACAAGCAGCTCCCCTAATGGTTTGAGTTCAATGGTCTGGGTTTTGTCATGCTGCTTTTCTTTTGACATAATTAAAATTTTGTGACAAATTTAATCACAATGTATTTACTTCGAGCCCGAATCAGCTCCTCCTCTTCGGTCTTCGTGTTCTTGCGGGTTATCATCTGGTTGCAGCAGTCCAGGAAGGCCTTGACACACTCTTCACCATCGATGATGTATGTGGCTCTTCGTTCACAGGTGTAGCCGAGTTTATTATCCCTCATCCCATCAACACAACACTGCTTCAGTTCACCGGAGTAATTACCAGCTGAGAAGACAATGTTAGTTTAGAACAATGAGGGAATAGGAGAACATGATGAGAACTTAATG